TTGTAAGGTAGTAATTCAAGGTTTACAATAATAATTAATAATATATTTCTACAATCTCAATATATATTCAATTCTTACAACAATGATAAACATTCAATTCTTGAAATTGTAATAAATATTCACTATTTATAATCATAATAAATATACAATTTTTGCAATAAAAATAAATGTTCAATGTTTACAATGATAATAAATATTCAATTCTTATAATAAAAATGAATATACAATTCTCGTAATGGTAATAAATATTCAATTTTGACAATTATAATAAACATTCAATTATTAAAATTGTAAAAAATATTCACTATCTATAAACATAATAAATATACAATTTTTACAATGAAAATAAATGTTCAATTTTTGCAATGATAATAAATATTCAATTATTAAAATTATAATAAATATTCAGAACTTATAAGCATAATAAATATACAATTTTTATAATCAAAATAAGTGTTCAATTTTTACAATGATAATAAATAACGTTAAAAGTGCAATAGTTCATTAAAGTTTTTATTAAACTTATAATTATTTATAATATATTTCGTACAGTATATAACCCTTGATTTACAGAATTGATTTGAAGTTTATATTTGAACGGAAACTTTTTCAACCGGCAATATAAGGGCCTGCTTTACTACGACACAGCCAAGAACCTATTCTGATCGAAATCACGAAAGTTACAACGTAATATCACATTTTTAAGGCTGTAACAATTTACAAAGAGGGATAATACACTTTTATAACAATTTATATTTAAGAAAATTGCTATTGTTTCTTTGAAGCTGGATCGAATCGGGTCTTTCCTTAAGAACCGTTCTTTAAAAACTTTAATTTTCCCAACTTCTATGAAAGTTAAATGAGTCCAGTTGGAATTTTATTAAATTAACTCGGTTGAACACTTCAGAAAACCGATACCTTAAAATTAATAAATCGAGGTCAAATAGCTATTACAGACTCGAAACTTTTCAATTTATGTGAGAAATGTAGAAATATCGTGGTTGCTAATAACCTAACCTATAAGGTTCGTACGATCTTAAAAATTAAAATTGAGATTAAAGAACTTAGAATTAAACAAAATCAAAATTAAACAACTTATAATAAAACAAAATTAAAATTAAATAAACTTACGACAAAACAAAATTAAAATTAAACAACTTACACTAAAGCAAAATTAAAATTATGTAAGATTAAAATAAAACAACTGAAAATTGAATAAAAAGGAAATTAACCAACTTACAATTAAACAATATAAAAATAAAATAATTGAAAATTGAACAAAATTAAAATTAACCGACTTAAAATTGAACATAATTAAAATTTGTCAATTTAAAACTAAACAAAGTTAGAATTAAACAATTTAAAATTGAACAAGTTTAGAATTGAACAAATTTAAAATTGAACAAGTTTAGAATTGAACAAATTTAAAATTAAACAAAATCAACTTGAAACAATTAAAAATTGAACAAAATTAAAATTGACCAATTTAAAACTAAACAAAGTTTCAATTAAACAACTTAAAAATGAACAAGCTGAAAATTGAGCAAATTTAAAATTAAACAAAACAACTAGAAATTGAACAAAACTAAAATTAACCAACTTAAAATTGAACAAAATTAAAATTGACCCATTCTAAACTAAACAAAGTTTAAATTAAACAAGTTAAAATTGAGCCAACTCAGAAGTCAATAAAATCAAAATTAAACCAAATCAACTCGAAACAACTAGAAATTGAACAAAACAAAAATTAAGTATAAGGATTTTAATGACACTCCTACACGAGGTGAAACAACTGTCTCCACCTAGTGATAGAACAATAAAAAGCAGCTTCGAATGAACCTAAACAATTTTTCGAACGTTGTCACGATTAATCGTTGTAAACGTATCGAGTCCTCCCAAAAAATCGATCAAGATGGTCGCGTTAAAAATGGTTCCGCGGGACACGATTCATCGAAACACTTGTACATTTCGTGTCTAGTTACAAGACTTACAAAACTTTGTTATTTTGTAAATAACAAAGAACAGTTATCACGATTCTCATATCGTTCCATTTTTATTGCGGTGTCGCGTAACATCGGTCACTTAACAAGATCGTAAGAGCAGGTGGGCATATCTCGAATTTTCGTAATAAACGTTCGACAGAAAATTCGTTGCGAGGAAGCGGAAACGAGCGGATCACGTGGACCTTAGCCAGGTTCGTATGTTCACGACCCGCTTTTAGCACCAATTTCGTACTGTACACACGTATATATGTATATGTACATAGAGCCTTCTATATGACTAGTCGCCATAGCTGCTTTTCAGACTAGACGCGGAATAGATGTTCCCGATGCTTCCAAAGTAGGAGAGGAAAAAAAAGAGAGAGTCAAATGTGGGGCAACATCGTACTATCGGTAAAGTACACGTACGAGCAAAGCGACAGAGTTGCCATCCTCGTAATAATATTCTGCTCTTTAACGTAACATTGGATTCCGGGCATTTTGCAATTTTATTACGAGCACATTTTAACGGATATTACAATTTCTGCGCGATTGACGTGGTGTCTGCAGTGATTACTGGTGACCGATATTTTAAATTACTGAAAGGGTCGAGAGAATTGGGTATGCAGGGATAATTGGGGATGTGGGGATGTAGGGGTATAGGGATGTGGGGATGTGGGTATACGTATGGAGATATGTGAGGATGTAGGGATATGGGGATATGGGGATATGGGGATGTGGAGATATGGTGATATGGGGATGTGGGGATATGGGGATATGGGGATATGGGGATATGGGGATATGGGAATATGGGGATATGGGGATATGGGGATATGGGGATATGGGGATATGGGGATATGGGGATATGGGGATATGGGGATATGGGGATATGGGGATATGGGGATATGGGGATATGGGGATATGGGGATATGGGGATATGGGGATATGGGGATATGGGGATATGGGGATATGGGGATATGGGGATATGGGGATATGGGGATATGGGGATATGGGGATATGGGGATATGGGGATATGGGGATATGGGGATATGGGGATATGGGGATATGGGGATATGGGGATATGGGGATATGGGGATATGGGGATATGGGGATATGGGGATATGGGGATATGGGGATATGGGAATATGGGAATATGTGAATATGTGATTTTGGGAATTTGGGAATTTGGGAATTTGGGAATTTGGGAATTTGGGAATTTGGGAATTTGGGAATTTGGGAATTTGGGAATTTGAGAATTTGAGAATTTGGGAATTTGGGAAGTTGGGTATGTGGGGATATGGAAATTGAGGAATGTTGGAATTGGGGAATGTGGGAATTTGGGAACGTGGGAATTGGGGAATGTTGGAATTGGGGAATGTGGGAAATTGGGAATATAGCAATTCGGGAACATGGGAGTTGGGGAATATGGAAATTTTGGAACGTGGGAATTGGGGAATGTGGGAATTGGGGAATGTGGGAATTGGGGAATGTGGGAATTGGGGAATGTGGGAATTGGGGAATATGGAAATTTGGGAATGTTGGAATTGGGGAATGTGGGAATTGTGGAATGTAAGAAATTGGAAATGTAGCAATTCGGGAACGTGAGATTTGCGGAATATGGAAATTTGGGAATATGGGAGTATGGGAATATTGGAATGTGGGAGTGTGAGAATGTGGGAATTTCGGAATTTGGGAATTTGGGAATATGTGAATATGGGGATATAACTCAACAAATTGAATGTCACGTGTCACCAATAATCAACACTTCAAATTGTAATATTTAAAAAAGACTAAAAAGTGAACATTAACCTTGATATCACAAACAAATGTTACTGTTAAAGTTGATTACGATGGTGATGACCAAGTCAGAGCACGGGAATGAAACAGGAATGAAATATACGGTCCAGAAGAGAAAATGGTGCCTGCCTTGAAGCTCGGGACGTTGTTTTGCGATGCACAAATACGCCAGTGAAACGATACGAACGCATAGAGCTGATCTAGAAGCGGGTTATGAATAAACGGTGCACACATAGCAGACAGAATACAAATGAATATTTCCAAGTCGTTCAAACGTACACGCGACCTCTTTATAATGTACCAGGGTCGTTCTAACTAAACGGATGGACGGCCATGATTCAAAATGCATCTAAATAACAAATACTGTCGTTTCGGATACATTTACGTATAACTACTTAATGATTATTTTGATGTTCTTCATTGTGGCAGTGGCAGGTTTTTTTAGATGGTGATATCTTTAATTGAAGGTTAATTTAATAAAGGTTGTTGTGAAATTTTTGCAAGTTTATGTCTAATAAGATTTATTTACTAATTTTGTGCGGAATCAAGTTTTTGGTCGAAAGTGAATTACTAAATTGCTGAATTGTAAAATTGTAAAATTGTAAAATTGCCAAATTGTAAAATTGTCAAATTGTCAAATTGTCAAATTGTCAAATTGTAAAATTGTAAATTTGCCAAATTGTCAAATTGTCAAATTGTCGAACTCCCATTGCACAGTTTAAAAACTAGACGACCTAAAAAACAAATAAAAATTTTTAAATAATAATTACCAAACTTGTTCATTCAATTGTTAAATTTGTGTCACTTCAAAATACAACAAAAACAATAATGAATCAAAGACAAATAATTACCATAAAAAATGTAGTAAAACTAAGTAAGTTTATGATCATCAGAAGACATAAACAAACAACCAATTGCTCGATAAATTATATTAAAATGGCCGTCCCTTTGCTTATAATTTCCTTCTAATTTCTGCATTTCGAGTGCAATTCAGAGTATTTTCAAAAATAGAATATTTTGGAAATATTTATTTCATCAACTTCACTCGATAAATCTTCTTTCTTTTTTTTTGACGAGGAGATGCGCGAGCGACGATATAGTTGCGTACTACCTGTACATAATATTCTAGCACGTGTATACGATAACGATGACTTGATGCAACGTTCTAAGAGTCGTTTAAAATGATAGTCGAAGAGGATTACTAAAAAGGTTCTCCGTTCACAGGTTCGGTATGACGACGAGGACGAGGACGAGGGTCCTCAGCCGGATCCGATGCTCGAGCAAGGAGCACCGATCCCGGTCCGACTGCACAACGAATTTCCACCCGAGTTGGCCTCCACACCTCTCGAGGATATCGATAGCTTCTATCATAACCAAAGGGTATCGATTATTTTCCTTTTTTGACAACACGGATCTCAACAAGTTCGCACGTACTTTACTAGGTTCACTAAAAGCGAGGTTGAGATGATTAAGGAGGCATGTATAGGGTGGCCCACTTCTTTACTGATAAAATTTATCAAAATATTCTTCTAATATCATTATAGTTTCATCTTGAACTGGAAGTTCATCTTTGTCAGATGTAGTAAGTGTAGATGTAGGTATATGTACAGGGTGTTTCATATTTTACAACCAAACTTTATCAGAATGTTCTAATATCATTACAGTTTCATCTTGAACTGGAAGTTCATCTTTGTCAGGTGTAACAAATGTAGATGTAGGTATATGTACAGGGTGTTTCATATTTTACAACCAAACTTTATCAGAATGTTCTTTTAATATCATTACAGTTTCATCTTGAACTGGAAGTTCATCTTTGTCAGATGTAGCAAGTGTAGATGTAGATATATGTACAGGGTGTTCCACATTTTACAACCAAACTTTACACAAATATTCTTCTAATATTATTAGAGTGCAATCTTGAACTGGTAGTCAATCTTTATCAGATGTAACAGATGTAGGTATATGTACAGGGTGTTCCACATTCACAACCAAACTTTATCAAAATGTTCTTCTAATATCATTACAGTTTAATCTTGAACTGGAAGTTCATCTTTGTCAGGTGTAACAAATGTAGATGTATGTATATGTACAGGGTGTTTCACATTTAGATTACCAACTGTTGGAGTTTAAGATCACATAGGAACTTGAAGAAATTTTGTAAAAATGAAAAAGTATAGTTTCTAAATTTCGAACTGCCTCCTTAAACATCAAGAAAGTCTCCGATATCACGTGATCGGTCATCGCCCGCGTGGACATCTATCGATGACCACCTACGCAACAGAACGTTCATTAATACATCGGTTCTAAATAACTGATGGCAAATACTGAAATATACACGTTACACATTTTACAATGATATAAATAAAATGATTGTTTATTTTTTATTAAGACCTTCGTCGTCATCAGCAAGGGAAAGGACATATTCAGGTTCTCAGCGACAGATGCGATGTGGATCCTCGACCCGTTCAACCCAATACGACGCGTGGCCATTTACATATTGGTTCACCCACTGTTCTCCCTCTTCATTATCAGTACAATATTGGTTAACTGCGTTCTCATGATCATGCCCACTACGCCCGTCATCGAGTCTACGGAGTGAGTATCGTTCGTTTTTCCCGCGAAAGAAAAATCAAAAATACTATGATTTGTCTATGATTTTCTAATATCTATCTTCTCTGGTTTCTCTTGGTTTATGTTTCTATTTAACTGTGTAATACGAGCAACGTACGAATATCTATTTTAACAGATTTATCATTATGGCTATTTTTATATATAATACATGAATAAGCAGATTCTATGAAAAGAAATAAGTTGAAAATGTGGAATGACATTTTTTCATATGTGGCTCCGTTTTTGAGAAATTTGAGTTTAAACTGTACTTACGGCCATTTTGATGATGTGTAAACAAAATGGCGCGCGTGATAGTGCTACAAAATGGCGTCTGTAGCGTTACAGCAAGATGGCGCTGATACACTAACGTAGATTAACTTTGATAGAAATTTTATCAGTATTCTTAAAACAATGTGGTTGATTGTTTATAAAAATAGCAAGGAATTATTGGATTTGAAGTATTAAATACTATTTTATAGTGAATTCTAGTCAATAAGTTATATTATTAAATATTAATTTTGACAATTAATGATTCAATATTTGAAATGATTTTCACAAAAACAGTTTTATACAAAAGAATTTTAATTCTGTATTTATAAATAATAGATTTGATATTCGTGCAGTGCTCAAGATTATATAAAAATAAAGATCTTCGATTTTCTATGGATTTTGAATGGATGGAAGCGAATCAGTGAAAAAGTATATGAACAGGTGTTTGGTACCATGATCAAACGATTCTAATTATGTGTTTATACTTCGCGACGAGTTGAAAGAAGAAAAAGTATAGAAGTCGTGTCAATTTTTAAATGGCGCAATTAAAATGTCCAGGGATTATCTACTTTTCTACGAAATTAATTATTCACTTTTTTTTTAATTTTTTCAATTATATATTTTACGCTTGCTCTGCAGTGACTGTGAAAAAAACGTAGATTAGCGTGTTTATGAGCCTAAGCTGGAGATGAGTTAGCGGACGTACTTATGCGAAAGTACTGGATATACCATAGGAATTTCCTAATTTTTTCATTTTTAGATATACAAGTTTCAAATTTTTAGATATTCAAGTTCGCAAGTTCTACAAATTCTCAAATCTCCAGATTGTAAACTTCCTAGATTTCCAAATCATCAAATTCTTAAATCCCCAAATTTTAAAATCTCTAGATTCCCACAAGACCATATTCTAAAATCCCTAGGTTCCCAAAAGTCCAAATTTTAAAATCCCCAAATTCTAAAATTCCCAAAAATTCAAATCCCCAAATTCTGAAGTCCCCAAATTCTCAAATCCCCAAATTCTAAAATCCCAAATTCTCAAGAAATAAGTTGAAAATGTGGAATGACATTTTTTCATATGTGGCTCCGTTTTTGAGAAATTTGAGTTTAAACTGTACTTACGGCCATTTTGATGATGTGTAAACAAAATGGCGCGCGTGATAGTGCTACAAAATGGCGTCTGTAGCGTTACAGCAAGATGGCGCTGATACACTAACGTAGATTAACTTTGATAGAAATTTTATCAGTATTCTTAAAACAATGTGGTTGATTGTTTATAAAAATAGCAAGGAATTATTGGATTTGAAGTATTAAATACTATTTTATAGTGAATTCTAGTCAATAAGTTATATTATTAAATATTAATTTTGACAATTAATGATTCAATATTTGAAATGATTTTCACAAAAACAGTTTTATACAAAAGAATTTTAATTCTGTATTTATAAATAATAGATTTGATATTCGTGCAGTGCTCAAGATTATATAAAAATAAAGATCTTCGATTTTCTATGGATTTTGAATGGATGGAAGCGAATCAGTGAAAAAGTATATGAACAGGTGTTTGGTACCATGATCAAACGATTCTAATTATGTGTTTATACTTCGCGACGAGTTGAAAGAAGAAAAAGTATAGAAGTCGTGTCAATTTTTAAATGGCGCAATTAAAATGTCCAGGGATTATCTACTTTTCTACGAAATTAATTATTCACTTTTTTTTTAATTTTTTCAATTATATATTTTACGCTTGCTCTGCAGTGACTGTGAAAAAAACGTAGATTAGCGTGTTTATGAGCCTAAGCTGGAGATGAGTTAGCGGACGTACTTATGCGAAAGTACTGGATATACCATAGGAATTTCCTAATTTTTTCATTTTTAGATATACAAGTTTCAAATTTTTAGATATTCAAGTTCGCAAGTTCTACAAATTCTCAAATCTCCAGATTGTAAACTTCCTAGATTTCCAAATCATCAAATTCTTAAATCCCCAAATTTTAAAATCTCTAGATTCCCACAAGACCATATTCTAAAATCCCTAGGTTCCCAAAAGTCCAAATTTTAAAATCCCCAAATTCTAAAATTCCCAAAATTTCAAATCCCTAAACTCTGTAGACCCCAAATTCTAAAATCCCCAAATTCTAAAATCCCCAAAATTTCAAATCCCTAAATTCTAAAATCCCCAAATTCTCAAATTCCCAAATTCTCAAATCCCTAAATTCTAAAACCCCCAAATTTTCAAATCCCCAAACCTCTCTCTATATTGCCATTTTCCCTACAAAAATGTAACACCCATATACAGTGTATCCAGTGTACTTACACTTCAACATGCTCTCCAATCTTGCAATTAAAAATAGAACCATCGAAAGCTTACGGCAAATACACGTTGTTAACTATAGATATTTCAAGCAATGTTCTACGTGTTATAGCTCTAATATACATATATGAGTAGAGACTGTGATAAATTGTATACCGTTGGTAAGTTTTGTCCTAGTCTCTCTAGAGGTAGCGTAGACGTGAACAATCTGTGCGAATAATATACAGGAGTCTCGCTATATGGCCCTGTACATAATACCAAACCAAAAACCGGTAAAAACATAAAAATGATATCCTTCCCAAAGTCTTTGATTTCAAGCTGTATAAAATTCTGTTATGTCATTCTGTCAATGGCCATATAGCGAGACTCTGCGTATATAATATAAAACCACCGTGTAGAAAGATATCGTTTTTCGTGTTAAACATCTGTTATATGTACATGTGTACAGGGAAGTTGTTCCCTGATCGAACAAACACATTGTTCGCTCGGGTCGTACTCGATATAGCTAACTGTGGTCTATGGTGATCTGCGATCAATTAGACACTGATAACGATCCGACATTATCGCCTAGCTTTACACAAGCGACACTACTCACTGTCGATTGTTTCGTGAGCTTTTATAGAAGAATTTAACGTGAGAAATCACGTGCTATCACGAATGGCTATATATTTTTATAATTTGGCACTTTATGAACGTCATGTGAAACCGAGTGACGTCATATTATTGCCTTAAGTTTCTGTTAATTGTGACGCGATGTCTGCTATAAATGAAGAGTCATTGGTGACTGGTGATTCAAGTTTAGGACACTTATTGAAGATATAAATTAAAGGTTTATGATAACATTTATAAAAACAATGTTACATCTGACAATTTACATATTTATACGAGGCAGACATAGTTGCATTTGTTTTTGAAATAATATGTGGAGATTTTAGTATTCATATAGTATAGCAAGGGTTCATTCTGAAGAAAACCATAATTTATTATATTACATGAATATTATTATCTGCATATATTGCAACTACACAAGCGAATGCAATACTCGTGTCTTCCTCTTGCTAAATTAAATATTTAACATTAAATAATAAAATCCAAATATTTAATATTAGTTAACCTTGTTAACCTAACCTAATTTCTTTTTATCTGAAATCTAAATGAGAAAAATGTATACTCACACAGAAAATTTTACAAAACAAATACAGAATGATTACTTCAATTTGAATGAATAAAAATGAAATAGTAAATTGTGTGACTTTTTTTTAACGAAGTGAGTGTGTCGCTATAACGCAACGTCAGTGTGATGTGACGAGACACGCTAGGCAGTAGAAGAGACGTAAATATTCGCATTTAAAGCTGAGTGGTGTGTTTGTTGTTTTCAGAGTGATATTTACGGGCATCTACACATTTGAGTCCGCCGTTAAGGTGATGGCGAGGGGTTTCATTCTGCAGCCTTTTACCTATCTTAGAGATGCATGGAATTGGCTCGACTTCGTAGTTATAGCTTTAGCGTGAGTAGTTAAAAACTTATTCTTTAACTAAAGAAAAAAAAATACAAACCAAGCGATACAGAAATGACAAGCGACCATATACGGTAGAGTACAGCGTGTGATGAAAGAGAACAATCAAAAAGAAGGGTACAATTTTTTTTTTACTTGTACATAGTCAATAGTGTTTTTTTTAATGCAAAAATGTGCGATAGGTTGAATACACAAGATAGATACGGTATTTTTAATTAGAGGATGCAGGATGCGCTGTGCGCGTCCGGCAAGTTGGCACGGGGAAACAATGATATACGCATTGTTTTCGAATGTTAATTTGCCGGACGCGTGTGGTACTTGAAAGGAAAAATTTGACGCAAATTGTAAACGAAGATTATTTGATAGATTGTTTCGGTGCAGTTTAGTTGATTTGGAATTATTGAATCGATAAGGTAGATGCTCTCATTATCGACTAATGGATGTTAACCTCAATCTCTTATAAAGTAGTTTGTTTTAAAAAATATTTATTAACAAATGTAAGTTCTTGTAATTTGTTATGTGTAAAATGGAGATATTCCTTATTGACATAAGCGTAGATATATTTTAAGAAGGCAGATTACAAAAAAAAATTAACAATAAAAGAAACAATAAAAGAAATCTGTTAAAATAATGTTTTCGATATTTGCAAAAATATCCAAAGTATGAAGTAATAATTATTAAAAATGATGAAGAAAATAATTTTTGAAAGTTTGATAATGGGTTCATTTACCTTATGTCGTACGGTGTTAAGATCTACTGGGTCTGATGAAAGCGTGAGTTTCTTCTTTCGTTATTTACGAGAAAGATAAATAAACAATTTGATAACGAATAACGTAATTCACGCTTTTCTACGGAAAATCATTCACGAATCTACCTATTCATTACCAATAAATAATATGTACTTGTGTATATAGTAGACCTGGGTATTTTTGAAATAACTTCATTTGTAATTATTTACACAAATGTAATTCATGATAATTGTTATTGTTTTGGGGAATAATTTTGGGAATATTCTTCTAAAATTTGGAGTAATATAATAGAGTAATTAATTTGTAACTGAATTGTTGTTGTTTAGTTTGTTGATGTGGAGGATGCATGATTTTTGGGATATGAATTTTAAGTTTTGTAGATTTGGGATTTGGGGATTTGGGGATTTGGGGATTTGGGGATTTGGGGATTTGAGGATTTGGGGATTTAGCGATTTGAGGATTTAGGGATTTGGGGATTTGGGGATGTGGGGATTTGAGGATTTGGGGATTTGGGTATTTAGGGATTTGGGGATTTAGGGATTTGGAGATTTAGGGATTTGGGGATTTAGGGATTTGGGGATTTGAGGATTTGGGGATTTGGAGATTTGGGGATTTGGGGATTTGGGGATTTGGGGATTTGGGGATTTGGGAATTTAGGGATTAGGAGATTTAGAGATTTGGGGATTTTAAAGATTTGGAAATTTGGAGATTTAGGGATTTTGAGATTTGGGGATTTGCGGATTTGGGGATTTGGGGATTTGTGAATTTGAGGATTTAGGGATTTGGGAATTTGGGGATTTGGGGATTTAGGGATTCGGAAATTAGAGAATTTGGAAGTTTAGGAATTTGAAGATTCTAAAATTTGGAAAATTGGGAATTCGTGGATTTGAAAATTTGTCAATTTGTCAATTTGTCAATTTGTCAATTTGTCAATTTAAATATTTGAAAATGTGAAAATGTGGAAATTTGAGAATTTGAAGACTGGAAAACTCGAAAACTCAAAAACTCAAAAATTAAAAACCTTGAAGACCAAATTAAAAACTCTGCAAAGTTACAAGTTCAAAAATGTCTAACCTGTAACCTCGCAACCCCCCAAAAATTCCCAATTCCGAAAATCATGCATTCTCCCCCCAAAAAATCAACCAACCCCCAAAATAGCAACAAATAGTAACCCAAAAACAATCCAATTCTACATTTTTCCAAATATAAAATTTGCCCAGGTCTAACCGTGAACAGCTATTACTAGTTAGAATCGTGTTCGATTAAATCCAGGCTAAAAATTGCGTCCAGCCTGAGACACTCGTTTTTTCTTTTCTTTTTCTTGTTTTTCTCAGTTCCACGGGTAGATTCGTATGACGATGACGATGATCTTAGCCGTACCGCGTCGACAGGGCCGATTTTCAAAGATCACGTCCGAGCCACGTACAACCAGTTGGCGCAGAGAAGCGTTTTTAACCCCACGTGAACGCTAATTAGTATTCAAGTTATGAATAATAGTAGCCATCGCTAGAGAACACCTTCAGTACGCTATCAGACATTGTTGTAGCAAAACGATTATATTATAAATATATTTTACTCGAACATATTCTTATCTTTTTTTTTCTCTCTATCATACGACACACGTACACGTATACACACAGACACATATAGTAACACTACTACGTCTATATTAATTAGTTTATTTAGATAACGGATAGAGACTCTTTATTATGTCTAGTTACCTCAAACAAAAAGTATCTTTATTATTATTATTATTATTATATTTATTATTATTATTATCATCGTAATGTTGATTAGTATAGCGTATACGTCGATTCGATGAATCATTTATTGTTGTAGTTTTAGAAAATGTATATATATATATTTCCTTGTGATTACACATTTATGAATATATATGTATACATGTTATTTATAACATATATTATGTAATTGTTGATAGATGATCAATATTTTATTCGATATAACAAGTATTCGTTTTGAGGTACGGTGTCATGAGAATTATTTTAGGGTTCATCTTGTTTATATTTATTGTGGAGTTATTTAGTTATTACCACAATTATTGTGGTGGATTTGTCAAATTTTTAACTTGTGGGATTGTGAATTTTAATAATTGGAATTCGACGTTTTTGCAAATCAAAAATTTGAAAATTTGTATTTGTTCGAATTTGAAGTTTATGTATTTTTGCAATTTATAAATTTGCGTTTGCTGACCTGTAAATGAAACAGTTACTTAAAAATTTGGAAATTTGTGTTTGTTGATCTATAAATGAAACAATTTGGAAATTAAAGAATTGAAATGCTTGAGAATTTGGACATTTTTAAATTTGTAAATTTAATTTAAAGACAGGAATTTGAAAACTGAAGGACTTAAAATATTGTCAATTTGAAAATACTTTAATTTGTAAATTTGGGCGTTCAAAAATCTGAAAATTTGTAAGTTCACTAATTTAAGTATTTTAAAATTTCTCAATTTTAATTTTAAATTTCTTGTAAACTTAAAAATTTCCAAATTCTTAAACATAAAAATAAACTTTCTGCTATAACGATGGAGTGTCATTAATAACCTGTAGTTTATGCAAAAACGGCAATATACTAAGAGCCTACTATTTATCCATCCTGTCTAACAACCTCTAAATACATACCCCTATAACTAAAAACACTCCAATATAGCAGAGTTCTCAAAAAAATATAAATTAAAACCGAATATCTGCAACCTAACCTCAAAAACTATAAACTACAAATTCATAATCCAAGTGAATATTTCCAATAAATTAAGTAATAGGGAAAGATAAATCGTCATGACACCGTGACCTAATCAATCAACATCGTGCATGCAGTACTAGCTCAACTTTTACGATATCTAAAAACGCAGACGTTTTTTGGTAGGCGATATAGAAAACGGTAGCGAGTAATCGTTTGCGTAACCATTATTTTCTTTCTTACATTCTCCTCGACTGTTTTTTTCAATTCGTTACAAATATTTTTTTTTGTTTGTATCACTGTAATGTGTGTGATGTTCGGGTGTATTGCAGTTATGTGACGATGGGCATAGATCTAGGCAACCTTGCCGCTCTCAGGACATTTCGAGTCCTCCGAGCCTTGAAGACTGTCGCTATTGTACCAGGTATGCTTAGAGAATAGAAAATTGGTTGTAGTCGCAGAATATAATATTATTAGAGAGTCATTAGTACACTTTTTTCTGTCCGCGTTCGCTACGCAACACATTCTCTCTCGTCTCATCACCAACGACAATTGCCTCCTCGAGTTAAAAAAAAATATCAAAAAATAAACACACCGTTTTCTTTCTTTCTTTCTTTCTGCGCCACTCTCATTCTCTCACGCCAGCCTTCCATCTTTCACTCGATCATCGTATCGATCATTTTACTGTGCGAAATTTGATCAACGATCATCAAAATTGTCTTCATGATCTTCTCTGTCAGCCATGTATGTTTCACTCTAACGACCTTCATCTTCTCCGTCTGTCCTCTCTGTTGTCCGTCATCTCTTTCCACACGCTGAAAACGAAAGCGATTTGTTGATCGGCCGCAAAGGGGCAACAACCCTAATGACAGTACGTTTGTCCTTCTCTTTCGTTGTCTAGGTCTGAAAACCATTGTCGGCGCTGTGATAGAATCCGTGAAGAACCTGCGCGATGTGATAATCCTGACGATGTTCTCTCTTTCCGTCTTTGCGTTGATGGGCCTCCAGATTTACATGGGGGTGCTCACGCAAAAATGTATAAAGAACTTTCCCGAGGACGGCTCCTGGGGTAATCTCACTGACGAAAACTGGGAGCGATTCGTTAGTAACGAAAGTACGTACTGAAATTATGGGCGTGGCCAGAGCCCGGTGGGGGCTAAATTTAACCTGGATGAGAAATTAGAATTTCTTCAATTTTTCATTTGGGAAATTAAAGTTTGCGGATTTGGAGACTGTTGGATTTGAGGGATTTGGAAGTTTGAGAAAATTGAAATGGGATTTGTGGATTTGGGGATTTGAGAATGTAAGGATTTAGTAAATTTTGGGATAGGGTGTCTGGAAATAAGGAAAATTGGGGATTTGAGGGTTTTAGTATTTGGGGATTTAGGGGTATAGGAATTTGGGGATATAGAGGTATGATGATTTGGAGATGTGAAGATTTGGAAATATAGGGATTTGGAATATGGGGTTTTGGAAATATAGGGATTTGGAATATGGGGTTTTGGAAATATAGGGATTTGGAAATTCGGGAAATTGAAAATTTAAGGATTTGGTAAATTTTGGGATAGGGGGTCTGGAAATATGGAAAATTGGGGATTTAGGGGTATAGGAATTTGGGGATATAGAGGTATGATGATATAGGGATTTCGAGATGTGAAGGTTTGGAAATATAGGGATTTGGAATATGGGGTTTTGGAAATATAGGGATTTGGAAATTCGGGAAAGAGAATGTAAGGATTTAGTAAATTTTGGGATAGGGTGTCTGGAAATAAGGAAAATTGGGGATTTGAGGGTTTTAGTATTTGGGGATTTAGGGGTATAGGAATTTGGGGATATAGAGGTATGATGATATAGGGATTTCGAGATGTGAAGGTTTGGAAATATAGGGATTTGCAATATGGGCTTTTGGAAATATAGGGATTTGGAAATTAGGGAATTTGAAAATTTAAGGATTTGGTAAATTTTGGGTTAGGGGGTCTGGAAATATGGAAAATTGGGGATTTAGGGGTATAGGAATTTGGAGATATAGAGATATGATGATATAGGGATTTCGAGATGTGAAGATTTGGAAATATAGGGATTTGGAGGTATGGGGTTTTGGAAATATAGGAATTTAGAGATTTAGAAATATAGAGGTTTGGGAACTAAAAATTTGGAAATTAGGAGTTTCAGGAATTTGAGAAATTGGAGTCAGAAATTTAGGAATCTAGAGATGTTGGAATATAGAAAAGGAATATAGGATTTGGGGATATAGGGATTTGAGAATATACGAATTTAGGCATACAAGAATTTGAAAATATATAAATTTGACAAATTAGTAATTTTGGAACTTGAAGATTTAGAAAGAAGATTCAGGAATTTAGAAATTTGGACTTGGAAACTTTGTTAACTTCCACAACTTGAAACTTTAAAAATACTAAAAAAAAACTTGAATCTTTAACTTTGAAAACCCCTAGGTTTTCTACTTTAATGACAAAAGGATTATATTACAGTAGTATTATCTACCATTGAACCATAAAAATAAATCTAAGATCAATTTAAACTAACACGATCAAATATACCCTGAGATAAATTTTGCCCTCCCGTAACCGACAACCTGGCTACGCCCATAACCTAATTGTCTGAACCTCTATCGACCTTCCAAATGATTTAATTTCCAAATGGACTTCGAACAAACGTTCATCGTTACAAAAACCTGAACTGTATTTCATTCATTATTTTGTTCAGCTAATTGGTACGTGGACGAGGCGAAAAACATGCCCTTGTGCGGGAATTCATCTGGAGCAGGGTAATTCAGAAATTTGATCTCATTATAACATAACAAGTTAATTAGATTATTAATAAATTGTTTATTGACTACAGGCAGTGCCTTCCTGGCTACACGTGTTTACAAGGATACGGTGATAATCCGAATTATGGTTACACGAGTTTCGACACATTTGGTTGGGCCTTACTTTCTGCTTTTCGTCTGATGACTCAAGATTATTGGGAAAATCTTTATCAACTGGTACTAAGATCGGCCGGTCCGTGGCACATGTTGTTCTTCATCGTGATCATTTTTCTTGGTTCTTTTTATCTTGTCAACTTGATTCTTGCCATTGTCGCGATGTCCTACGACGAACTGCAAAAGAAAGCGGAAGAGGAGGAGGCAGCCGAGGAAGAAGCAATACGTGTACGTATACCTTTCAAGTTTCATTCATTCCCATCAATCTTTAATAAATCTAGCTTATCATTGTACTTCCACAAGTTATAATACTTCACGTTATCATTGCTTCACATATCTTGTAGCCTTATATCACCACACATGTTATCTACACATGTCCATATGTAATATCACATCCACATTAAATGCATATTGTAGCCTTATATCAATACAAATAATGTCTCTATGTATCCACATCTAATATCACATCAACATCTCATCCATATCGTATCCTCATATCACTTGAAATATGTCCACATATCCACATCTAACATCACATCACATCCACATCCATATCCACATCTGATACATATCGTATCCACACATCACCACAAATGATATCTCCACCTATCCACACCTAACATCACATTCATATTACAGCCTTGTATCACCATAAATGATATCTCCACATATCCATATCTACATCACATCCACATCCACATCTGATTCATTTCGTATTCTCATATTACCACAAATGATATCTCCACACATCCATATGTGACATCACATCCATATTACAACCTTGTATCACCATAAATGGTATCTCCACATATCCATATCTACATCACATTCACATCCATACCTAATCCATATAGTATCCACATATCACCACAAATGATATCTCCATACATCCACATGTAACATCAGATCCATATTACAGCCTTGTATCACCATAAATGGTATCTCCACATCATCACATCCATATCCACATCTGGTCCATATCGTATCCACATATCACCACAAATGATATCTTCACATATCCATACCTAACATCACATCCATATTACAGCTTTATATCACCATAAATGATATCTCCACATATCCATATCTACATTACATTCACATCCACATCAGATCCATATAGTATCCACATATGACCACAAATGATATCTCCACAAATCCACGTCACATCCATATCAAACTACAGATATATAAATAATGACTATCTTAACAACAGGAAGCCGAGGAAGCAGCATTAGCGAAAGAGAACAAGTTGGCAGCCCAGGCAGCGGCGAGGGAAGCGGCCGCAACAGCAGCAGCAGTCGCCGCCGATCAGATCGTGAAATCTTCATCGGACTTCTCCTGCCACAGTTACGAGCTGTTCGTGGGCCAAGAGAAGGGCAACGACGACAACAACAAGGAACGCATGAGCATGCGTTCGATCGAGTCGGTCAGCGAACACCGGGTGAAGCAGATCAACAACCACACGGCCACAACTAAAGTGCGGAAAGTCAGCGCCGTAAGTGTCCGGCTGGCGATGCTTTCACCATCCTCCTTTGACGTAATGTACTTTGCTCCTGTTATATCGAACTTGCCGGCCCCCGATCCTGACCCTTGACCTCGCTTCCACGAGAGCGATTCACGCGAGGCTCGTTCGATCTCGACTCGACTCGTCGGCACTAGACACGCTTAAATTCACTAGATTAACGACGAGCCTCGGTACCCGGTATGAAAAGTAGGAAGTGGCGGAGTGTTTTGGCCCCTGTGGGCGGGAAAGATGACTTCCAGAGCAAGAATGATCACTGGTGTGGTGATCTCTAGGCTTTTCTTGATCGAGGGATCTAACTCTTTAGCGTTTCAAATTTTGTCTCGTATATAAAGGTAGATGAGGACTTCCCTCGACCGAGAGAAGCCTATTACCACGCTGCAAAGGCTCATGGGATTGTCTGTTTTTCTTGTTCAGTTGGAAACGTCCAATTGAAAAAGGCGACATAGAAATCGGACAATCGGTTCTTGAAATAATCTTGGACAAGTAAATGAGTAGGTTCACAATGGGTACCACAACAACAGGTACCAACTATCTGTTTGAAACATGCGAACGGAAGTTTCTGGTAGATTTAACTTGCTGTGTATACCCGGTGACCTGATTTCCATTGTCCCTAGAACTAAGACAAGGAGCTGTCGGTGCTAATTGTCCTAGCTCAGTGAGTCCATCGTTAGACTGACAAGAGGACTTTCCTGTTTCCTTCCTGATCAGGTGGAAATGTCTGATAGGGTTAAATTGATCGAGAATACGGTTGTTTAGAGAAAATTTCGACGAGTCGAGCCCCTTTATAGAATCTACTGCTCTGTTGTAGCATGCTTGTCGTACGTACTGTATCGATTATATTCGTAACAAATACAAGAATTTTTGGTAACTTCGTTTAGGACGCTTTTGAACCTCCTTGCTTTCGTTTCCTTCATTTCTTCACAGACTTCTGCATTGATTTCGGGTGATGTATTTTGATGATTTTGACAGCGTACATTAATGTTCCGTTTGATTTCCCATCAGCCACGTAATGGTTTCCGTAACGGTCGTGTAATGGTAATTCAGGACCGGTGTCGCGTTGACGTAAGAGACTTTTGTGAAGATCGTCTTGCATGGAAACGCATGTGTGTAGTAGATAAAAGGAGATACGAATTTTCGGATCGTAATTATGATAAACGGGGATAGTATTTATTCTTGTTTCTGTATGATTACCAGATATAGTAAGTTGTATCGAATAGTACAAAGGTTTTTAAGATGGCAGAACTGTTGACATTTGTGACGTCATTTTATGGTGTACCAAATACTTCAAATATTTCTGGATTTAAGTATTCTTTGGAAATCATTGTACGTTTTGTATTAGTATTTGTATCAATACTAGTACAATACTGATACTAGGGGCACTAGTCAAATATTGTTACTAGGTATGGTAGTACATCACTAATACTGGATGTACTGGTACAACAGTAATACTAGATATACTACAATACTAATACTAGGTGTGGAAGTACAATACTAGTACTAGGTAAAGCAGTATAATATTAATACTAGGTACAATAGTACAATATTAATGTTAGGTATACTAGTATCAAGTGGTACTAGTACTTACTGTACTAGTGCAAGTAGCAATAGTGTTGTATTATACTAGTGTAAGTATTACTAGTATTATACTATACTTGTGTATCTAGTATTAGTACTATATTCTACTTGTGTAAGTAATAGTAGTATTATATTATACTAGTGTAAGTAAGACTAGTTCTATACTACACTACTATTATACTAATGTAAGTAGTACTACTATTATAGTATACTAGTACAATTAATACTAGTACTATATTATACTTGTGTAAGTAGTATTAGTATTATAATACACTAGTATAAGTGATGCTAGCACTATACTACACTACTATTATAATATACTAGTGCAATTAATACTAGTACTATATTATACTTGTGTAAGTAGTATTAGTATTATAATACACTAGTATAAGTGATGCTAGCACTATATTACACTAGTATTATGTTAATGTAAGTAGTAGTACTACTATACTGTACCAGTTCAATTAATACTAGCACTGTATTATACTTGTGTAAGTAATACTAGTGTTATATTACACTAATAAAAATAATACTAGCAGTATACTATACTAGTATACGTAATACCAATGCTATATACTGTTATAAAACTAGTACTATACTGTTCCAGTCTGAGTAATGCTATAACATACGGATCCAAATAATACTACTACTATACTAATATCAATAATGCTAGTACTATACTAGTATAAATAATACTAGTACTAGTAACACCACCTGCAAGTATCTCTACAAACCATGATACCACAATATCCAACGAAACACAAGCTTACATCCAGAAATTTATATAAATTCTACTAAAAAACATACCTAACAGTTCACTAAAATCCCTAGATCTGGCCGATCTTCGTGTCTCCGGTGTTCAGTATCTTAACAACGAACATCGAGTAACATCATCCCAATATGTTGCGTCGAACTGTATCATTTCTTTGCGTATAAACATATCTCTTTCTCTTTCTCTATTTCTCTACTGCTGTCACTTTTGTGTATGTACGCTTTGCAAGTATTTATATGAACATATCCGTATCGAGTGCCTCCTTGGTGTACATTTTAGACAACGTTACGAGCCGTTTGGTAGGAGATATCTTTTCTTGTTTTTTTCTTAAGGTCTCTCGCGCCGCTAATGGCCAGTTTACTTATGCCTACCAGGAAAACCTGCGGAAGGTATGTGTGTCACGGCGTGTGTCAATCACCATCGACCGTACGTACAAAAAAAATAGCCAGTACAGGATCCACGATCCGATTATTCATGTCGATACATCGAAGATCTAACGTGTCGCGAAGCCGGAGCTTCATCGTCAGCCTCTAGTTCCCGTCACGATGGACGGATGTCGTAACTTAAAAGGATGCTTGGAGCTTCGATAGACGATCAACTTTATCCTATGATCTATATGACTTGCGTTTGTCCTATTTGAACGAAACGATATCCTTTAAAGATATCAACTTTCGAGAGTCTTTCAATAAAATTTCGCACGGATAAACGCAACTGATTTCGTTCAGACTCGAACATTACCAGCTAGAATCACCGTAACGTATCACATAACCCCATCAAGAGCTATCAGTCCACATCTCTCGTCACATTTCGATTACGTCGAAGGCGTTCGTTCTTCCAGAATCAAAGAAAAAAAGATCGTTCTCTAGCATCACCCTCGTCGAGTGACATCCTAACCTGATCCTCGTCCCGGTCCCTGGTCCGCTTTCCAGAGAAGAGCGAGAACGGTGAGAAAGAAAAGCGGTGGTCCGCTTTGTTGTAATTTCAGGCGAGCCTTAGTCTACCTGGCTCACCGTTCAATCTTCGCCGAAGCAGCCGTGGTAGCCATCAGTTCACGATCAGGAATGGTCGTGGTCGTTTCGTTGGTCCGCCAGGAGGTGACCGGAAACCGTTGGTCCTCTCCACCTTCCTGGACGCACAGGAACATCTGCCGTACGCGGACGACTCGAACGCTGTCACGCCCATGTCCGAGGAGAATGGCACGATCGTGGTGCCCGTTTACTATGCTAATCTTGGATCCAGACACTCGTCGTACACGTCACACGCGTCCAGGATTTCGTACACGTCACACGGAGATCTGATCGGAGGCATCGCGAACGCGGGCAAGCCAATGACCAAGGAGAGCCAACTCAGAAACAGATCCGTCAGGCCCCCGTCGGTGAACGGACACTTCACGGACTCGAATCAGAAGTACCATTACGTGAGTAGTTTGGGAGGAAGGTTATGTTAGCTGGGATTTATGTGAGTACATTCGGTGGATGTTAGGTGTTTATTGTGTGAGATTGGTAGAGGGGGTTAGGTGGAATGGATCAGGTAGGATAAATTATATGACACAGATCAGGCTACATGGGATAAGTTAGATGAGATACGTTAGATAGGTTAGCTGGAATAGACTGGGTTTGGGATAAGTTGGATCGATAGGTGGGAATGGTGTTCAGATAAGATAGGGATTAGGTGGATCTGAATATATTTAAAATGGGAAATGACCTCACATGATGGGAAGGATGTAGGATGTAGATAAATTAGAAATGTGAAAATTTGCAGATCAGTAAAATGTTCCTAACTCACAGGATTCTAAATCCGAAAATTTACACATTACTAATTCCAAAATGACCAAATGTCCAAATTCTCAAGGTGGTACAACTCCAAATCTTAAATTTTCAAATTTCCACGTCACTAATTTAAAAATTTTCACATATACAAATTCTCAAGTTTGTAAGATTCCAAATCCCAAATTTCCAAATCTTCAATTCCAAAATTTTTAGATTTACAAATTTCCAATTCCAAAATTTTCAGAGTGCCCAATCTCCCACTCCAAAATTCGCAAAGTGCCACATCTTCAATTCCAAAATTTTCAAATTTCCAAATCTCCAATTCCAAAATTTTCAAAGTGCCAAATCTCCAATTTCAAAATTTTCGAGGTTCCAAATTTCTAATTCCAAAATTTCCAAATTTCCAGATCTTCAATTTCAAAATTTTCAAATCTCTAAATCTCAAATTCCAAAATTTTCAATTTTCCAAATCTCCAAATCCCAAATTTTCAAATTTCCAAATTCTGAAGTGTGTACATTTCCAAATTCCAAATTTCCAAGTCTCCAGTACTTAAACTTCCAAATTTCTAGTTCCAAAATGACCAAATGTCCAACTTCTCATAAGTATAAATTTCCAAATCTCTGACTCCTGAATTTCTTAATCTCCAATTTGAAAATATCCAAGTGCCAAGTTTCCTAAGTTTCCTAAGTTTCCAAATTTCTAAATCCCAGATTTCCCAAGTTACCTTTTCATGAGTAGATAGTTCAGGCAGATGGCGCTAATGCTCACACAGAACACGTTAATTTTAAATTAATTATATTACTTTCATATTATTTATAGGAAGGTGACCTGGAGAATCTCATGGGCAAGGCAAAACAACAAGACAATCCGTTTATAGAGCCTTCTCAACAACATGCCGTGGTTGATATGAAAGGTGAATATCAGCTTATGTCACATTACCTAAATGATCAAATAAATCAAATAAATCATCACATACAAAATGAACTGAACACATAATGAATTACCTAAGCAAATAATGAAATAAACAATTGAGCAATCAAATAAAGAAACGATCAGATAATGAATTAAATAAACGACCAAATAGTGAAATAATCAAATAGTCAAATAAATGATCAGATAATGAACTAAATGAACGATCAAATAACATTTTCAGTAAATGAACGACTAATAAATTAATTCAGTAGCTGATCATACATTTAAGTAAATGATCATCTAATGAATGAAATGCATGATTAATAATGGAATAAATATTTGTTTGTTATTATAGATGTGATGGTACTCAACGATATAGTAGAACAAGCAGCAGGACGTCGAAGTAGTACACCAGAACAAGGAGGTAATATCAAAAATTCATCCCTCTGGTTCATACTACTTTTTTACAGTTTATCACCCTTTATCACAGATGTGTATCTCTTGTGTGATGAGCATCCTTATCATTTGATGTACACCGTTGTTGACATTCTTGTACATTCTTCTTTTTACCTCCGTTGATATTCAGTGCTGAAGATTTTTGTCTGAGCGCCTTGTACATAGTAGTATCGAATCCTCTATATTCTATATCTATTATTACAAACTTTGTTTTTTATTTTTTAATTTCGTTGGACGACCGTGAAACTACGTACAATGGACTATTCCTACTCTATTCGGTATTATTGTTATCGGTTATGTAGGGTTCCATGCGATTGGGTTAGGTTACCAGGTCTAAGGTGGTTGGAGGTAGAAAAAATACTGTAGCAGGCAAACGTAGGTAGTATGATTAAATTTGCAAGCTTTTCAAATTTCTAGATTTACGAATTTTCAAATTTATTCATTTTTGAATAATAAATTTATGAATTTCTGAATAATAAATTTAAAAATTCTTAAATGCACAGATTTATGAAATTCTGAAGTTCTTAATTCTTAAATATCTAATTCATTATAATTAATTCAAATATGAATGTCTTAAAGTTCCAAAATCCTTAGACTCCAAATCTTTTCTAGATCCTCAAGTCCCTAGATCCTCAAATCCCTAGATCCTCAAATCCCTAGATCCTCAAGTCCCTAGATCCTCAAATCCCTAGATCCTCAAGTCTTTAGATCCTCAAGTCCCTAGATCCTCAAGTCTCTAGATCCTCAAATCACTAGATCCCTGGATCCTCAAATCCGTAGATCCCTAAATCACTAAATCCCCAAATCCCCAAATTCCTAGAGTCCTAATTACTTAAGTCCCCAAGTCTTTAATTCCCCCATTTCTTGGACCTTCATATCCTTTATTTCCCCACATCTCTAGATCCACAAATTGATAGACTCCAAATTCCTAAACCCTCCAAATTTCGAAAAAAACAAATCCACAATCCCCAAATCTTTAGATATCCAAATTCCAAGGTCCCCAAATCGAAAAATCTCCAAATTTCTAAGTCAGCCAAATCTCTAGGCCTGTAAATCCAAAGACCTCCAAACTCCTAAGTCAGTCAAATTTCTAGATCCCCAAATTCAAAGACCTCCAAACCCCTAACTCATCCAAATTTCGAGGTGTCCAAATCCCTAAGTCAACCAAATCTCTAAATCCCCAAATTCAAAGACCTCCAAAACCCTAAGTCAGCCAAATCTCTAAATCCCCATATTCAAAGACCTCCAAAAGCCTAACTCAACCAAATCTCTAAATCCCCAAATTGAAAGACCTCCAAAACTCTAAGTCAGCCAAATCTCTAAATCCCCAAATTCAAATACCTCCAAATCCCTAAGTCACTCAAATCTCTAGTTCCACAAATTCTTAAACTTCCAAATCACTAAATCCTTAAATCCCAGTGTCATAGAATACCTAGATCTCCAGATACCCACATCTCCAAATCACTAGATCCCCAAATCCCTACATTACAGAATGCCTAGATCTCCAGATACCCACATCCCCAAATGCCCAGATGCCTGAATCCCTATATCACAAAGTTCCTATATCCCAACTCTCTACATGACAAAACTTCTATATCCCCAAATCCCTATATCAGAGAACTATATTCCCAAATACCTAGATCCAAATCCGAAAATTTCCAAATCTCTCTATATTCCCAAAATTCTAACTATTCACCTTCACATCCGAAACCAACAAATGCATCATACGTTCTATTCGACATCACTTAATTTGATCTAGTAATATTTTCTATCTTCAGCCATTTTATCGCCATAACTCGACTCAACTGCATAGGACTCCCTGCCTAACTATTCATCTGGTGCATGGACTTCCCGACATCCCGAAACAATTTTCTTTTTATTATTATTCTTGTAGAAACGATTCGAACTTCTCTAATCTCTTCTGAATCCCTATCTCGACGTCTAAGATTCATCAAACGGAAACCGATAAACATAGATATACCGTAACGACCAATTAAGCGAATAAATAAATAAATACTACGAATAATTGCAGTGCGTAAGCCCTCGAACACTTGGATGGATTATAGAGAATTGAAAATATGAGACGAAAGTTTGTAGTAGTTGTTTTTTTGGGGAAACAGCGTTTGTTTCCTGTTGTATAACGACACAGATTAATATCCTCGCTGCAGCTGCACGATCCTGGTGGCTTTCGTGCCTGGATTGACCGCTTCTCTTCCCATTTCTTCGATCGTCGACGTCGACTGCAGCGAAGTTTTTTGATTTTCTCATCAGTTTTTTTAACAGAAGGCACACGCGGGGCCGGCCACAACCTGGGTGCAACACACAAGGCTTACCATTTGTATATACTTTTTGAAAAGAAAAAAAGAATTGGAAGACAAATGTGGATCAAACAGATCCAGAATACAGATGTGTATTTATTTAAATAAATGCTTTAACATTTGTTTTACTTTTTTAATTAATTTTCTCTTGCTATTAGTATCTTCTGAGAATGTTGATAAATCCTAAATTTTATGTTGGACAAATTATTTTGGGGCCTAAAGTGTACTTGTACCCAGGTTACTTGAAGAGGATCGGCCCTGGGCACACGCTTCGAGGGCACCGCCGCGTTCTGCCTGCGTTGCACAGTCAAAAAGTAGACAAATCGATAAGCTTATTACCATTTCCGGTTTATTCATAATTATTCGACGATCAGTGTTTAGAGGACGCGAATTAGAGCTTTTTCCAAACGAGGTTTATTAGTGGCGACGTTAAATGCGCACGCGAACACTGCCGCACTTTCGATCTTAGGTTGCTACTGCGGCCATTTTAGGTACAACTGACCTTCAAGGATCTGTTCTTTATTCTAGTTTTCTTTATTTATTTCCTGGTTGTGTACTGAACGTGCTTGGGTCTTAGCTGTAGATAAATTGATTTAGGACGCTTTTCGTGTTGTGTTAACCCTCAGGTGGTAGAATTTGCTCTTTATTGAAAACTGTTTGAATAAATTAGTGTTGTGTAGACGTTTAAAACATTAATAGAGTTTATAAGTTAGAATTAAGGTTAGTTCTGTATGCATGAGGCTAATGTAGACAAAATGGCGGACGTAGGAGCAGGTGCTAGTATTCAATTAGAAATGGTTCAAGAAAATGTTACAATAACTAAAACTTATATTACCTTTGCTGAAAATTAAATTCAAGGTTGTACAAGTAACTTATAGTGATTGCTGTGTAATTTCATATCAAATTAAATTGATATTAGGTACAGTGCCGAGGATGGGACTAACTTAGACAAAATGGCGGACAAAGTAGATGGCGCCACTATTCAATTGCGATTACCATTTCCGGTTTATTCATAATTATTCGACGATCAGTGTTTAGAGGACGCGAATTAGAGCTTTTTCCAAACGAGGTTTATTAGTGGCGACGTTAAATGCGCACGCGAACACTGCCGCACTTTCGATCTTAGGTTGCTACTGCGGCCATTTTAGGTACAACTGACCTTCAAGGATCTGTTCTTTATTCTAGTTTTCTTTATTTATTTCCTGGTTGTGTACTGAACGTGCTTGGGTCTTAGCTGTAGATAAATTGATTTAGGACGCTTTTCGTGTTGTGTTAACCCTCAGGTGGTAGAATTTGCTCTTTATTGAAAACTGTTTGAATAAATTAGTGTTGTGTAGACGTTTAAAACATTAATAGAGTTTATAAGTTAGAATTAAGGTTAGTTCTGTATGCATGAGGCTAATGTAGACAAAATGGCGGACGTAGGAGCAGGTGCTAGTATTCAATTAGAAATGGTTCAAGAAAATGTTACAATAACTAAAACTTATATTACCTTTGCTGAAAATTAAATTCAAGGTTGTACAAGTAACTTATAGTGATTGCTGTGTAATTTCATATCAAATTAAATTGATATTAGGTACAGTGCCGAGGATGGGACTAACTTAGACAAAATGGCGGACAAAGTAGATGGCGCCACTATTCAATTGCGAACATTTACTCGAGGAAGTCCTATAATATTTAATAACTAAAACTTACATTAAATTTTTGTATATTAATTTTCAAAGTACTGCAAGTAACTCACGGGGATAACTACGTAATTTAAAGACAAATTCAATTGATTAGTAAATACAGTACTGAGGATGGGACTAGCTTAGACAAAATGGCGGACAAAGATGGCGACACTATTCAATTGCAAACATTTACTCGAGGAAGTCCTATAATATTTAATAACTAAAACTTACATTAAATTTTTGTATATTAATTTTCAAAGTACTGCAAGTAACTCACGGGGATAACTACGTAATTTAAAGACAAATTCAATTGATTAGTAAATACAGTACTGAGGATGGGACTAGCTTAGACAAAATGGCGGACAAAGATGGCGACACTATTCAATTGCAAACATTTACTCGAGGAAGTCCTATAATATTTAATAACTAAAACTTACATTAAATTTTTGTATATTAATTTTCAAAGTACTGCAAGTAACTCACGGGGATAACTACGTAATTTAAAGACAAATTCAATTGATTAGTAAATACAGTACTGAGGATGGGACTAGCTTAGACAAAATGGCGGACAAAGATGGCGACACTATTCAATTGCAAACATTTACTCGAGGAAGTCCTACAATATTTAATAACTAAAATACACTTTGCAAATTAAATTCAAACTTCTGTAAGTAACTTATAGTAATAGTTGTGTAATTTGCAATAAAATTTAATTAGTAATTAGGTACTATGGAGATAATCTAAAGAAAATGGCGGACAAAGTGGTAGAACTACTATATAATTGCAAGTCTACTCAAAAAAGCCTTACAAAATTGAATAATTAAGGATTATAATAATCTGTTTTGAACTAACCTAAATAGCTAAATACTAGAATAGTAAAATATTAACCATAGTATTAGTGTAATGAAATATATCTAATATCTAATTTTCTACCAATTTGAGGGTTAATTGCATTTGGACTGCCAGCAATGATCTCTGAAGCTCGAAGGGCATAATCGCTACTTCCTGTTCATTTAGTTTTCTAGAGCAAGCTTCCGAACACAGCTTCGATCATCCTTTTCTTTCTCCTTCGCCGCATCGAATGAGCTTAATCACCGAATTTTCGCATTGTAAATAAGGCTCGATGAGTTCTTATTTCTTCTGTCCTTCTTTCGTTTGCTATAGTTCACATGCCTGCCTGTTCGTATATATAATCTGTGGTCTGAGAAAGAACAAAGTAACAAAGAGCAAGCTTGAGCCGAGCCGAGACAAAAATATAAAAAAAAACCTCTTTCCCCAAAAAGAGTGGTGCCAGACAAAATTACTAACACGCGTTACAGTTTCGACCTATTACTTTCCGACAGACGACGACGAAGAAGGGCCGACATTCAAGGATAAACTGTTGGCCGCCGTGTTACGTTGCATCGATACGTTCTGCGTATGGGACTGTTGCTGGTTGTGGCTTGAATTTCAAAGATACGTGTCTCTTTTGGTGTTCGATCCGTTCGTAGAATTGTTCATCACCCTTTGTATCGTCGTTAACACACTCTTCATGGCGTTGGATCATCACGATATGGACAAGGACATGGAACGGGTGCTCAAGACCGGAAACTATGTAAGTCAAATTAACTTACAACTTACTCTTACTTCTTGTTTCATTCATTTTTCATTTCTTGCATTTATTTTTATTTATTTTTCATTTACTGTATTTCGTTTCAATAATTCCTAATACACATAAACAATTATAAATTTCAGTTCTTCACGGCAACATTTGGTATCGAAGCAACGTTGAAACTGATAGCAAAAAGCCCTAAATACTACTTTCAAGAAGGATGGAACATTTTCGATTTTATCATCGTCGCTCTTTCGCTTCTGGAATTAGGGTTAGAGGGTGTGCAAGGTCTCTCCGTGTTACGATCGTTCAGATTGGTAAGTATAGCTAAATATAACTATCTAACCGTCTGGAATGCATCTTGAATGCCTCATGAGTGCGTCTTGAGTGCGTCATGAATGCATCATAAATGTATCATGAGAGAGTCACGAGTGCGTCTTGAATGCGTCATGAATGTGTCACGAGTGCATCCTGAATGCGTTACGAGTGCGTCACGAGGGCGTCTTGAATGCGTCGCGAGTGCGTCTTGAATGCGTCGTGAGAGTGTTACGAGTGCGTTACAAATGCGTCATGAGTGTATCACGAGTGCGACTTGAATGCGTCATGAGTGCGTCACGAGTGCGATTTGAATGCGTCATGAGTGTCTTGAGTGCATCACAAGTGCATCACGAGTGCGTCACAGATGCGTCACGCTATAATGGAGCAAAAAATTCAAGTGTACTAACAAATTTCTATTTGACATTTCAGCTAAGAGTGTTCAAACTAGCAAAATCGTGGCCTACGTTGAATCTGCTGATATCCATCATGGGCAGAACGGTGGGCGCGTTAGGTAACCTGACGTTCGTGTTGTGCATCATCATATTCATTTTCGCCGTGATGGGTATGCAACTGTTTGGCAAGAACTATACCGACCACGTCGATCGTTTTCCCGACGGCGAGCTACCCAGATGGAACTTCACCGATTTTATGCATTCGTTCATGATCGTTTTTCGAGTGTTATGTGGAGAATGGATCGAGTCTATGTGGGATTGTATGCTTGTGGGCGATGTTTCTTGTATACCGTTCTTTCTGGCTACCGTTGTCATCGGCAATCTGGTTGTAAGTATACTTATCTGAGTCTACTTAGAAACGTAAGTCTATTTATAATATCAATTTGGTTATTTTTATATGGATTCATTTATGTTCGCATTAGTTTATTTAGAAATAGATTAGGGTAGTACTGTTTGTATTAATTTATTATCCTATTAGTACCCTAAGAAATTAGGGTAATGTAATCTATTAGGGTAGTACTGAGGACATCTTAAATAAAATTTGAGTCTCATTCAAATTTAGAATCATGAAATAGAGTTTGTCTTAATTGTGGTGTCTTATAGTAACGTAGTATAGGGTAGTGATATTATTATAATCATTTAATATGCACAAACTTAATCTTGTAATATGGCTGATTCATGTTATATTGCCATGGATGGGTTGTGATAGTATTGTCAATGCAGAGTAGTAACAGTTGTAAATTTGAAAGTTTGAAGAATGCAAATTTTTAAATTCAAATTTCTAAATTAATGAATTTCTGTATACTCAATTCTGTATTGCTCAATTCCTAAATTCTAGAATTCCTGAATTCCCTTAATTCCTGAATTCTTGCATTCTTGAATTCTCGAATTCTTGCATTCTACATACTTAAATTCGTGAATTCGTGAATTCTTGAATTTTTGCATTCTGCATTCTTGAATTCTTGCATTCTGCATACTTGAATTCGGGAATTCTTGAAGTTTTGCATTTTGCATTTTTGAATTCTTGAATCCCTGAATTCCTGTATTCTTGAAATCAAGAATTCTTGAATTCTTGGCCATGCATTCCTGCAGCCTTGAATCCTTGAGGGTAGTACTGTTTGTATTAATTTATTATCCTATTAGTACCCTAAGAAATTAGGGTAATGTAATCTATTAGGGTAGTACTGAGGACATCTTAAATAAAATTTGAGTCTCATTCAAATTTAGAATCATGAAATAGAGTTTGTCTTAATTGTGGTGTCTTATAGTAACGTAGTATAGGGTAGTGATATTATTATAATCATTTAATATGCACAAACTTAATCTTGTAATATGGCTGATTCATGTTATATTGCCATGGATGGGTTGTGATAGTATTGTCAATGCAGAGTAGTAACAGTTGTAAATTTGAAAGTTTGAAGAATGCAAATTTTTAAATTCAAATTTCTAAATTAATGAATTTCTGTATACTCAATTCTGTATTGCTCAATTCCTAAATTCTAGAATTCCTGAATTCCCTTAATTCCTGAATTCTTGCATTCTTGAATTCTCGAATTCTTGCATTCTACATACTTAAATTCGTGAATTCGTGAATTCTTGAATTTTTGCATTCTGCATTCTTGAATTCTTGCATTCTGCATACTTGAATTCGGGAATTCTTGAAGTTTTGCATTTTGCATTTTTGAATTCTTGAATCCCTGAATTCCTGTATTCTTGAAATCAAGAATTCTTGAATTCTTGGCCATGCATTCCTGCAGCCTTGAATCCTAAATTCCTAAATTCCTAAATTCCTAAATTCCTAAATTCCTAAATGTCTAAATTTCTAAATTCTTAAATTCCTAAATTTCTAAATTCTTAAATTCCTGAATTCCTAAATTCTAGACTTCCTGAATTTTTCCTGAATTCCTGAATTCCAAAATTCCAAAATTCCAAAATTCCTCATTTCCTAAATTCCCAAACTCCTAAACTTTTGATGTCACAAATTCCTAATCATTTGAACCTTAAAATCCCAAAATTCCTGCCATCTCAAATTCCAAAATTCACACATTCCTAATCCTAAAATTTTTCTCATCCAAAACATCAAAATTCAATTATTCTTAAATTTCAAAATTCTCGGTATCTTAAACTTGTAAATTCAAATATGCCTCCACTCCAAATCTCTTATTAACCCAAACTCACAAATTCCAAAATTGCAAACACTCAAAGCAAAAAACCCTTAAAATTCATAAATTGTAACTACAAAAATTGAGAAATTATTATGAGAATATTTATAAAATCTGAAAAACTTGCACCCATCTCCATCTTGCCATTGTAAATTCTCAATAATGCGTATAAGGAGTGCATAAGAGATCGTCTAGCATCGATCTCCTCCAAACGGCAATATAACGAGAGTCAACTATACACACCTCCTTATTTTATTTCCATCAATTTTTATTTAGTTCCATCGAATTTTTATTTAGTTCCACACCCTAAAATAATAGTTTAACACAGTAATTAACCACAAATATCGTACAAAACAGGTGCTGAATCTCTTCTTGGCCTTGTTACTCAGCAACTTCGGTTCGTCGAATCTTTCGGCGCCGACACAGGACAACGACGCGAACAAGATCGCGGAGGCGATCGATCGAATAGCACGATTCGTTAAATGGATCAAGCGAAATGTCCTATATCTTGCTAAAATGATGCGAGCCAAACTCACCAATCAGATATCCGATCAGGCGCCAGGTGAGGGACCGTCCAACAGTTGGAAAGAAGGTTTATATCCAATCAGATCGCTTGCTGTGTGCGCTGTGTAGTTCGTGGCACTGTTTTTCGGTTCTGCTTTTCACTTTTTTACGAAAACAAAAGAAACAGATTTTTCCGTTCGCTCGTTTCGTTTCAGCCAGTCAATGATCGAAATTTCTCGTTTCGTTGCGACGAGATTTTTAACACAAAAACGCAGAGCGAAAAATCAATTATAATTTTGACTTATATCGATTGTTTTTTCTTATATTTGAGATTTTTATTTGAATACGAAACGTTGACTGGCGTTTTTGATTTTTTCTTTCAACGCAGAATTTTTGATCGGTTCGCTGTTTGGTTTTTTCCTTTTTCTATGTTCTATGAACGAAAGTCGTACAGATCAGAAAGAGATCGATTGATTGATTCAGGAAGATTAGATTGATTTTTGCTTCGTTGATTAGCCTGGCGATTATACGTTGCTTTGCCTATTATTTTGGAGAAAGCAATCGTTTCGTCCTTCGATGAAACGAATATGGCTTCGATACTATTGGATAATATTCAGTGTAGATTAAAATATCACGCCGGTACATCTGGATTTATATCGTTTAGTCGAACGTGCACAATGTTTATTTTTACAATGATGCTATACAATATGTACTTACACCAGCAGTCGTTCGGAAAGTTCGTGTTTTATTATTTTGTATTTAAATAATTTTTCATTTTAGATGAAATATATTTTTATTATTGTTTAATGGAGTACATTTTTATTACTGTTTAGTGGAATAAGTTTGTATTACAGTTTGGGGAAAATTTATATTAAAAATTTGTTTTTGATATAGTGGAAGATGTGTTGAGAAAAGCATGAACTTTCCGAATGATCTGACACAAAAATCAAGTGATTATACGGCATAGTCATTGGTGTAACTAGGTGCTAGGGTTGGATTACATTTCCCATATTGGAAATTTAGAAATTTGTATATTTTTCATTTTTTGTATTTTTAAATTTCTATTCTGTGTGTTTCATGATTTTTTCAATTTGTAGTTTTTAAATAATCAAATTTCTGATTGTCTAAGGTTTTGAGTTTGAAAATTGTAAAATTTCTTAATTTCTAAATTTCCAAATTCTTGAGTACCCAAATTCCCAAATCCGACAATTGTTAAACTATCAAATTGTAAAATTGAGAAGTTGCCAAATTATAAAATTATCAAATTATTAAATTGTCAAATTGTCAAATTGTTAAATTCTCAAATTTTCATATTTTCCAACCTTTACAATTTTCAAACTGCTATGTATCATGCCTTAAAATCTGTGAATTTTAATATTTTCAAAAACCCAAATTTCTAAATTTGCAAATTTTTACCTGCTTCAATTTCCAAAAATTCAAATTCACCAATTTCAAAATATTTAAATCATCATATTTATAAATTTTCAATCTTCCACATTTCCCAATACCTTAATTTCATCCCCAAAGTTCCCAAATTCCTACATTCCAAATCTCTAAATTTGAAAATCTTTATATTTTAAAATTGTAAAACTTCCAAATGTCCAAATTTTCTAATAGGAAAATTTCCGAATCTTCTAATCTTGAAATTTCCAAATCCACAAATCCCAAACTCCCCAAATCTTTAAATACCCAAATTTCCAAATCCCCATATACCCGTATTCCCATACTCCCAAACCTTCAAATCACCAAATCCCCATAGCTCCAAATTTCTAAATCTCCAAATCCCTAATTTCCCAAATCCCTAAATCGCCAAATCCCTGTGAATCTCTGAATCTCTGAATCTCTGAATCTCTGAATCTCTGAATCTCTGAATCTCTGAATCTCTGAATCTCTGAATCTCTGAATCTCTGAATCTCTGAATCTCTGAATCTCTGAATCTCTGAATCTCTGAATCTCTGAATCTCTGAATCTCTGAATCTCTGAATCTCTGAATCTCTGAATCTCTGAATCTCTGAATCTCTGAATCTCTAAATCTCTAAATCTCTAAATCTCCAAATCTCCAATTCCCCAAATTCCTAAGTTCTCACATCCCTAAATTCCCAAATCCCTAAATCTTCAAATCCCTAAATTCCTAAATCCCTAAATTCCCAAAACCACAAATCCCCAAATCCCCAAATCCCCAAATCCCCAAATCCCCAAATCCTCAAATCCTCA